AGAAAAATTAGCAAAATGAAAATTTTTTTAACTGTATTTGAAATTGCTAATTATATTTGAAAAGAAAAAAAAAGTTTGTGTCTACTTTCGAAGGGAAAATGAAAGATTGTTTAAAAGAGGCTTCATCGAACAGTAATTGTCAACGATTAGTTTACAACAAGGAACAAAAGCGATTAAAAGCAAAAGTGCTCATAAAAATGTTGTAAAACATATGTTGATGTTGAATATGAGGTCAACTTCCAGCGTAGGACGGTTATAAAAGCATACGAATATTATTGTCATTGTTATTGTCACCGCTACTGCTGTCGTTCCGTTGTTCGGGCATTGTAACAGTTGTTTGAGCACATCTGAAACGATAAATCTTGCCAAACTTCATGTATCTGATATCTTTCTGAAATAAATCTAATAATTGGGATTGAGTAAAAAATAATTTGGTTAAATACAATAACGAAATGAAAGTGTCTCCAGAATTAAATCCATAGTTAATGAATTTATTTATAGTCCAAATCATGCGGTGTTTGCATGAAAGACGACGGACTGGCAAAGAGGCATATTCTATTATTGAATTGGCCTTTTCTCCTTAATGAATAACATTTTAGTTAGCTGTATTCGGTGTAACAATGCTATGAATACAACCATTTGCAAATTTTCAAAAGATGCATGCTTGAACAGACCAATTAGAATTTGAATTTTTGATAAATGAAATGCTCCATATCCCCTGAATCTTTCCTTTTCAGAGAGCACAGAAGATTATTATTTCATTAAGAGATTTTATTTGATACGTAATTTACTGCAGTTTTTTTTCAAGAATTTCAACAAAATTTGAAGTGAAGAATCGATTAATACGGAGAAATATTATATCTTCTATGAATCTTTCAGCAAAATTTTTGAGTATTCCAGAATTAAAAAAGCAAAGTTAGCAAAGCTTAAAAATTCCTATTCGAAGATTTTTGAGGTTAATTATCAGTGATATGTCCCATGCATTGAAGAAATTATTTGGCAACTGAAAGACTTTATTGTATATCTGCGGAAAAATAGTTTGTGTGTGAGTGAAAACTTAAAAATGGAGCGTTTCAGCATTACATCGGCAGAACTTATTTGAAGTTGCATTCAAATCATATTGTTTAATTCGTTAAGATACAACTAAGGGAACAGAAATAAAACACAGTGAAACATAAGAAAAAACCGGAAGCATATTTCTGAAGTAATGAGTAATGAATAAATGAAAGTTGGAATTTTACTGATATTAGCATATTATTCATTGCTATTCAGTTTTCTATACATAGTATTGAATAGTATATAGCCAAATAAATAAGAGCATTTGGCTGAATAAAAAAAAAGCTAACCGGGAATTTTATTAGCATTGATTGAATGATTTAAATATATCGAAGATACTGATGAAATCAAAAAGAAAATCAAATGAGAATTGACGTTGAAGATCCGGTCTGAAAATGTACAGTCGATCGGATAATGAATGTATTATCTAATTTTTTATGAAGTTCTGTAGTTATATTCCAAACTCTTACAGACAGATTAAAATTGATGGACAGCAGTAAAATTTTCATTTTATCAACTGCGCTTTATGCTCGATTTCCAGGACTTGAAATTTTTTTCTTTTCAGAAAAAGCATATCACAACTTTTGAAATTAGGGACTGGGGAAAACTGCATGATAAGACTTCAAAATAAATTGATCACGGGGTGATTAATTCAGCGTCCACCATCTGGCAGTTTCTCCTCATATGAATTTCATAAATGTAAAATCAATTTATTTTAATTTTATAAATTCAAATTATTATGAAACTGTAGTAAAACAACTCTTTTAAGCACTTTCAATTAATTTCATGATAAATTTAAGCATGGATAATAAGAAGCATTATGATGACACATTCATACAGGTTCGTTGGTTTCTATTATTTAACTCTTCACACAATGTAATTGTTTGTAAATATTGCATTTATTTATTCTTTCCCTAGGCTTCTCTACACTTTGAAGCTCTTCAGACCCGTTAAGATAAGAACAACATTATAGCTATTTTCATCCGAGACAGTGAGGCGCTCTGAGCCATCTGTAGCGATAGCGCACGATAGGAATGTACAGCAATGTCATTTCGCATAATCTGCTGAGAAGTGTGACATTGTCTTTCTTATAATTTCTTTATTTCAAATATTTTTCGGGTTTTGTATCAAACTAAAGTATTATTTGGATCCATATTTTCTACAAATGAATAATTAAAATAATATGATAATAATAAAGCGCTGTTGTTTAACAAAGATCACTTCAATAGTTTAAATGAATACGAAAGTTAAATGATAACTCTATTTATGAGTATTATTACCTTGCTTTTTAAATTTCTGATGTCCAGTCGTCAGAGCTTTTTTGAAAAGTTATTTCTGTTGATCAAAGAATATATTCAATTTTTGAGAGAGGTAGGAAGCAGTTTAATAAACACTGAACATCGTAATGTTGCGTTTAATAACTCAAAATTCTTTTACAATTTGAATTATCTTACTCCTGCGGAAACTTTTTAATCACATCAATCACATGAGTTATCACATTAATCATTATTTGTACTCCCAAATTTAAATAACGAAATTTATTGAACTCCACAAAGCAACTAACCTTTATTTATATATTAAAAAGACTGATGAAGATTACCTGCCACTTTTTCTGGCTCTTTTTTCCACTATCTAACCTCTAATAAACTCCAAAGAGAACCAAGTATGCATATAAAAGTTGAAAGACTGCAAGAATTTGTCAAGCAGAGAGGTGGTTTTGCTAGGGGGCATTACTCGGTGAATAATGTACCGCGACATTCTTGCACCGATACCCTTGTGTTTATGTCTTTGCAGCGCTACCTGCAACGATACCTTTGCAGCAATACTTGCATGCTTTACAACGGTACCTGCCCTACAGTAAGCAATGATGAAAAATGCCAGTACCACATGATTTATTAACAAAAAGGGATTTTCTCCCTTCGTCAATCTTTTTTTTTTTTTTTTTTCATACAATTTGGTGAATATGAATGAAATTTGAAGCAAGACTTGTTGTATTCTTCAGAAAACTAATGGAGGACTGCCTACAACTACCTGTTACGTTAAGAGTGAGTAGGATAGGATAAACTAGGATGGATTAGATCAAAAATGAATTAAATTGGTTTATGAAGATATAAAATTGTGATGTATGTTATCATTAAGTTCTGAAATAATTTTAAGTAGTTTCGACGACATCAATATGATGATTAATGGTACCGAACAATTTCTGTTGCAATTACAATACGTTCATTAACATTTCATTGGGTTACTTACAACGGGATGTTTCTACAGTGGAGATGACTGAAGGGAAATTTCCTTCATATTTATATATGGACTATCTGTCAAAAGTCAAAACACTAATCCCTATTTAGACCACTTTAGGGAATTATGGAAGCAATTAGAAAATTAATTACAAAATGTTTGTTACAAAAGTTAGGTAATGTTATTTAATTAAGGAAGAGAAAGAATACCTAATAACCATTTGGTCTTGGTCCATTTAAATTATTTACGCAAAGAGCCTTTTAATCAAAGATGCTTAGAATGGTGAAATAGCTACATCATTTCTTTTAATTTAATTTGTAATAATTTTGCATCTAGCCCAGTTAAAGGGAAGTCAAAGTTCACGTTCATGTATTTTAAAGTATCATTTATACACTTCGAATTCAATCTGATATCAGTTTGTCAACTACTCTCGTACATTACAATCAGGAATAGTCTGTCCACTTCCATCGCTCAGCAGTACACTTCGAATATGCGCTATTGTCGTGTCCCATCCGGATCAAATGGAATTGGAGAAGGACGCACCATTTAGAAGGATCTTCGCAAGCGCTACCGTCGAACATCTGTTGCAGACTTCCTTCCTTCCCGCACCACCTCTACGATTAGTAAATATTTCTCTGCGTGCGTCTGTCCGTATCGGGTGTGTGTCTGCATGTATGTAATATACATGTGTGTGTGTGTGTGTGTGTGTGTGTGCATGTATGTATGTCATGTGTCTGTATGTTATATCCAAACATTCCATTTTTTTTAAAATCACAACTAGTAATTTGTCTTTTCTTTTAACATTTAAATGAGAGAAGTAAGAAATGTATAAATGATGATAAGAAGTTGTGATTGTTGTCTTTCCCATCCTCGTATTGTTATCCTCCTATTATTGTTATCTTTGCAATCAATTCTTCCACTCTTCCACTTCCACAGATTATTATCACCTTTGATAGTCTCAAAATGTCTAATTATATGTCAGATCTGATTGTTCATACAAATCATTCTCCATACCATTGCAATTTGTCATTATGAGATTTTTCTCGAAACTGTTTTAAAAGCTTCTACAAGATGTGACAGCGTTTATTTCAAATGCGATTATCTATAACAGTATTGCTAATGCTACTTGCTTCTATTATTACTACATTACCACTACTTTTAGCGCTTGAAAGGATTACTCTTAGGATGTTAAGTCAAGTCTCACTCGCTGCTAATTACAAAACAGCTTTTTTGTTGTCATTGCTACTGATATCACTGTCACTTCTTTGCATAAACGGTAACAGATTGACAATTATTGTCACTATGATTGTCGTCAAAAAGGAAGATCACATTGAGCCAGTCCTCAACTAGAAAATATGTTTTGTGAACGAGCGGCGGTAATTGCTGATGCGAAGACGATTATATTTGCATGGAGTATTATTTGTAGCATTCTCTAATCAACGTCTTACAAACATTCTTCTCTTCCAGAAGCACCGCCCGAATTCATTTTCACCCTTTGCACATCTCATTTCATTTATGTTCATTTCCTTCGTTACACTTTTATATCCCGTTTGAAGCCTACCTAAGGACGACATTCCTCTTAGCTCGACCGGATGATGACGATCTGTTGTAAATGTCCCATTCACTTCAGTGTGGCATAGCTTTTAAGCAACACTTTCAGCAATTGTCACTCCAATTAAAGCTTTATATCAACTCATCATCAAACAATGTTACACGTAAAGAAACAACCATTGCTGCAAGCCGTATTATTCTTCTTCTTATCACTTACAGTAAATGGTAGGTTTTCGGTGATTACTATTTACCGAAGTGATCACTCATTTTATCAATATTGCAATTAACTACAAGTTGCAGGGAACCACATTTTATGGGAAAGAAATAAATCTTTAATAAGATGGATTTTGTGATGAATAATATTTGTGATTCTTTTAGATCATTTGCAAACTTCCATATATATTTTTTTAAACTTCAGTTGAGTTCATTTAAATTTATAAAGCATGAAAAAATGAAATCCATGTATTAAAATTTTCGCAGAATATATGCTTTCTTGAATATGCAAAGAATGAAAGACAGTCTCTCCTTCAACGAATATTTTTGCAACTGTTCTCTTTACCATCGTATTTTTCTTTTTAATTCATTTGAAGTCAGTTATTGGAGAACTGAAGCTTTTAAATTTTAACTTCTTTTTATATTTTTTAGAAAATATTTTAGAAAATTCTCAAGTTGCTAATTTTCCATTTATTATTCATGTGGATGAATTTTGAATATCGCTTCTAATGCATCAGTTTATAGAATTATTATAATGTGTAGCTAATAGCGAAATTAAACTTTAAATTAATAATCTATTTGAGCGTATGGTAGTACACTTGAGAATTAATGCTTAATATTTGAAAGAAATTAACGTAATAGATTCAGAAATGGAATTTCGTAAGAAATAAACTATTTTTTTGCATTCTATGCATAGTAAGCTTATAAGTCAGATTTGTTTATCTCGATAATGTTAAAATTATTTAAAATTGCACAAAAAAGCAATCATCTAATTAACATGCATGGATAAGAAGTAAAGAGCCAGAAAATGTCCTCATAATGTCTCCAAAATATAGGTCTCGGAAGGATCTATGAATATCAACGTTACGACGGGTGGTTCAACAATCTTGCTAATCCTCATTGGGGTACTGTGGGTAAGCATTTATTTCCTAAAAAACATTTCATTGCTACTGATAATCAATCTTTCGTCTTGCTCTTATTTACAGTAATCGTTTATGGTCAACTATGGTCAGTTGTGGTCAGCATTAGAATCTTAAATTATAAACATGAATTTAATGTTTAAAAATTCAGCTTGAAATATTGTCACTAAAAGAAATCCCTTCACGATTTGTATTTCGTAGAAGTTTTATAAATAATATCTATCGATAATGAATTAATTAATTTTGAATTACTTATCTCCTCTATCTTTTAGATTGTCCGTACATGAAACGCCCTAGAACTTTTTTATATATAAAATTTCAGGATCGCATTTGCACCGTGATGCACCAAGCCGATATGAGGATGGTGTCTACATGCTTAATAGTAATTTACCATCCGCGCGAGCCATTTCAGAGTTAGTTTTCAAAGGTCCATCCGGAATACCAAACAAGCGAAATGTCACTACAATGCTTGCCTTTTTTAGTAAGTTCTGGAATTTTTTGATTGGATTGGACGAGATTGGATTTGAATGATTTTTTGATTGGACTAATATTTAAAAAAATAAGCGGAAGAGCTCTTGTTCGATTTCTAAGCAGAATAGTTTTCATCTTTTTTTAAAAAAAAAAGTTTTTTATGAAAAATGTGTTTATGATAACTCGACGATTCTGAGAATTTTTTTCAACTTTTGTGAATATCTTGTTAAACCACTTTAACTGCAAAAAGAAATTTTTTTACATTCCTACAAAATGAACAAAGCGGCAAAAAATAAGGATGGGTGGATTCTATGCTCAGTCACTCATTTTTACAATGTTTATTGAGAAACTAAATTAATTATCGGACATTCAATTTTCTTTGTAAATAAAGGCCAAATATTTTTCTTTTTTTCAAATAAAAAGCACGATTATGGGAAAATATATTGCTTTAGTAGAAAATAAAATTTAGTTAAGCAGAATTAGTTTATTTTGATCTGTGTTGTCTTTACACAGTGGATATATCAATAAGATCAGAAAAGTGGAACTTTCCGGGAGATAAAATTGCTGAACTGTTTGAAGGTTACATCAGAAGGTGGAAGTATAAATAGTAGAAGGAGAAGAAAGTAGGAAAGTATTAAAGAAGAATTCGTGCTGAAAATGTTTTTTTTTTTTTCTATGAAGAAACTGGTTGCAGGCCAAGTAATTGCATACGAAATTATGCAGTCTACTTTAGTTAGCTGTCCGTTAGAAATGCACAAAATTCCTGTACCGCGCTGTGATGCTATTTTTGATGCCCAATGCATGGGTGAAACAGAAATTCCTTTTGTTCGTGCAAAATATGACAAGAAAACCGGGCATGGCTTTAACGCACCGCGTGAACAAGTAAGCTGTATCACTGTTCCGGAAACTAAAAGTTCTTATATTATTGAATTATGAGTATAATAATAGTACAAAGGTGGTATTCTATTAATTGATATCGATGTACGATAGGTTCTTATAGCGGAAGACATACATAGAACGAGAATTAAGTACTTCTAAGAAACGGGTTTTTGGTCATTAATTGGTGAGGAATGCCTGTGACGTAATTCCGTTTTTTCATCTGTTTGTATTAGAATGGTGCAGATGACATCTTCCGTTTCCAGTTTAGAACGATGCAAGTGTGAACCCGTAAACTTACACTGATCCTTTTTCACTTCTGGATTGTGCTTATATATGGAGAAAAATATAACAGAAAATGAAATTCAGAGATAAGGAATTCGTTGTTGAATGAAATTGAGCGATGTGAAATCCAGAAATTTACATGCCTCTTTTCCTCTTACAATATCTTGAAAACAAAACTTGATGATAGACTGATCCATCTTACTCAGTCTAATCTTCCTACGAAAAATCATTATTTTACTTTTCACGTAACATTTTATCCTAATTAGTTGACTAATGATCCTCGAAATCATTTGAATTGTAAAAAAGCTCACGACTTAAGTAGTGAATTTTATTAAAACACCAATTATCAATTAAGTTAATAATTAGACTAATTTAGAAAGACAAGGAGACTAATTTAGAAAGAAAATTCTTGTACTATCTTCTACACTACATTTCCAGTTGTTGTTCAGGCATCCGAAATATTTCTCACAACATAAGCTTAGCTAGTAACAAAACAGAGACTTAAATGATTTTAAGAATCAAACTGAACGAGAAGTTCTTATCAATGGTTTCTATCAATATGATCTATCTGTTAAGATGCTATAAGCAATTTAACTGAAAATCCAAGAAATTGTAATATTTTTTTTCTTTTTTTTATAAAGAAATTGTCGTTGTGTGGAAGTTTGGAATTAAGTTGACCAAAAAATTTTGTTCATATTTATGAGACGCTTCAGTCATGCATTTCACAAATAGTCAAATAATTTAAGTAATGCGTCCTTGGAAGATAAAACGAATAAAAAAGTGAAATAAAAACAATAATGGAGCAGTTGGTTGAATTCGGAAATGAAAAAATTTTGAAGGAAGATTTTTTCAAAATATTTTATGCTGTATAATTTGATTTTTCGTATTTAGAAAGTAACAAGAAGTAATTGTAAGTTACTTTTTATGTTTGGAATAGGAAATTTGGTTTATGTAATTTTTTATAGGTCCTAGTAATTTTTTATAATGAAAATTGAAAGTATGATATTGAAATAACTTATCTACTATTGAAAAGCATTACTGGAATGAATATTTCTTTTAGTTTGCATAAAGTACCCAAAATTTTATAGTTTTTGTCCGATTCGTTTTAATCAAGAATTCAATGAATGAATTAATCTTTTCTCTAATGAAATTCCAATATTTACTTTAATTATCATCTATGAATATTTGAAATTTCTAGCTTCAACAAATTTTTTTTCTCATCCAAATAGATTCACTGTTTTCATTTTATGCAAAAAGTGAGAAAATTATCCGATTACGAAGTTGGTAATTCTGAACTTTTAGACCTGCAGAAATAGAAATTTTCCACCAATATTTTCAAATATTCATTTTTGATCTTTGATGCGGGTGTTGAAAGAGAGAAATGAATTAGATTTTCATTTCTATTTTGTAATTCAGATATCATATCATAAATTAAAACGCAACAAAGTGACACCTCATCTTTTTCCCAGATATTAGGACAAATTTAAATTACAGTCTCAGTTATTCCTTAAATTACAGTCATAGATTTAAATTACAGGCTCAGTTGGCACACAAAAGCATTATTGTTTTTAAAGAAAAACATTAAAATAAAAGGTTAAGGTATGTATAAACTGATTAAATTCAAATGAGGCTTGATAATCGCCTTTTTGGTAAAACAGATGCTAACCGAGTCTACCTTAGCTTGTGTTTTAAAAAATTTGTTCCACAACTAATCAAGACCACAAACTTTTCAACTTTGACTAAAGAATTTCAGGAATTGAGACATTAATATAGCTGGAACTTCTTTATTTTTACAGAAAAAATTTGATTGATAGACGCGATGTTACTTCTATATACCGGTTTAGTGGTATTTACGGGTAGGGTTATTTAACATACAATAGAGAGCAAGTGCCACCTTTTGAATTGAATATTTTGTCAAATATTTAATACTGGAATACAATCACATCTATAGAATGTAAACTGCTCACAAATACATCAAGATTAAGTCCCCCAAATGAGATAGTTTCTTATTTTAGCTAACTTGTAAAAAAAATTTGTGATTCTTTCAATCCAAATTTCCCTCAATTATTTCGATTTCAATTCATTGGCTGTTAAAGAGTGAAAAAATGAAATTACAGATGAATGAACGTACAAGCTGGATTGATGCTTCTTTTTTGTACAGCACTCAGGAACCGTGGGTTGCTGCACTTCGCGCTTGGAATAATGGTTCATTGCTGGAAGGACCTATGAAGGATTATCCTCCTCTAAACGGTCCTCGTATTCCGTTAATCAATCCTGCACCACCACAGATACATCGTTTGATGAATCCCGAACGTCTTTTTAGCAAGTTTTTCTAAATTGTCCCAAATAAAGAGCATCTCACGTCTTATCAGTTATAAATACACCTATCACACTTAAAATAATTTACTTTAAATTTACAGGGTTACGACCTTTCAATTTTTCACTTTCAGGTACATGTTGTTCCTATAGTTATTTTTTTTAGAATTAATTATACAGACATCATTTTAAAGACTAGATGAATTCCAAATTCGAATAAATTTTTAAACTGTTGTCGAAACTAACACTTATTTAAATGGTAGGAAAGCTCCGACAATTATTCCATTAAATAAACTGTTGATTTCACTGCAAAACTCATTCACAAATGTTTTTCGATTAAAATTAGAATAGATCCTGTGGAGCAGCAATTTGTATTCCAATTTACAGAGTAATGATAATAATTAAACAGCAAATATTTTGGTGGAAATGACTAGGAAAAGGAAGGAAGAATATGAATTAAATTTATGCTAATACATAAGTGTCAGAAAAAATTGGCGATACTTTATAGGTTTCATTAAATCATTGTACCTGATTATTGTTGTTTTCATCAGAATTTCAGTGCTGGGTGATCCTCGTACCAACGAAAATCCGGGTTTGCTAAGCCTGGGTTTAATTTTATATCGATGGCATAATATACAAGCAAAGAGAATTCAAGAAGAACATCCGAATTGGACCGATGAAGAAGTATTTCAGGTTAGGCTTCTTTTTTTTTTTTTTTTGAAAATTTGAATTTTCAATATAATATCTGCTAAACAACGACGATTATAGGGTGCTCGTCGGTGGGTGATCGCAACGCTGCAGAAAATAACATTGTATGACTTTTTACCGGTAATGTTAGCTGACGAAAAGGCAATTCCACCCTATGAGAAGTACAAACCTCTTGTGCCGCCCGGTATATCGCATGCTTTTGCAACCGCTGCTTTCCGATTTCCTCATACAATTGTAAGTAAATAAGTAAATAAGATGATTCTGCAGAAATTCAAGAAAAGTTTGAGAGACATTTACTTATTTGGTAATGTTAACTAAATGCTCTTTTGTACTTCCTATGAGCCATGTGACTGACGTAATTTATAAGGAGTACAGGTACCGCCCGCCTTGTTACTTCGAAAACGAACAAATGGAAAATGTGAATTTCGTGATGAAGTAGGCGGTTATCCAGCACTAAGATTATGTCAGAATTGGTGGAATGCTCAGGATATCGTGCAGGAATATTCGGTAGATGAGATTGTCCTTGGAATGGCATCGCAAATTGCCGAAGGCGAAGATGCCATTGTTGTTGAGGATTTGCGAGGTATAAGATGTTAAAATAGATTATTTTACTTTTCAAAAAATATCATGAAAGAATCCGATTGTGCACGCTATACTGATTGGTATTCATAAAGATCTGCGGACCATTTAGCAATTATTTTGCAATATTATTTGTGTCGGTTAGATTAAAAAATTTTTTACAAAACGAATTACTTGAATGTAATTTACACTTTTTAGGTTTAAAATGTTTAAGCAATTGTAGATTTTGTCTTTGGTCCAATGCATTTCACCCGTCTGGATGTCGTTTCCAGTTCCATAATGCGTGGCCGTGATAATGGTTTGCCACCATACAACGAATTACGACAAAGTTACAATCTTCCCATCAAAGATTGGGTAACAATTAATCCTGTGATGTACAAGGAAAAACCGAAGGTATATTCTGCTCAATTTTGAGAAAAAAGAAAAAAAAAATCAGATTTACAAAGTTATTAGAGTTGTTTCTCAAAAGTTTTAAAAGTTTAAGAAATGTTATAGTAAATACCTAAAAGGCTTAAATGCGAATGCTAGTCACAATCTTTTTTTTTTGCGTTTCCTACACGTAATTAGTATGAATCATTGATGTTTGTTGAAATTTTGTTGTTTTCTCAGATATTTCATGAACTGGAAAAATTGTATGAAGGTGACATATCAAAGCTTGATGCCTACGTTGGTGGAATGTTGGAAACAAACGGTGAAGGACCAGGAGAACTCTTCAGAGCAATCATTCTTGATCAGTTTTTAAGACTGCGTGATGGTGATCGATTTTGGTTCGAAAACACTTGGAATGGGTTCGCTATCTGTTTAATCTCTTTTTCAGTTTATGGTACACTGTACAAATATTAAATAATTTGCCAGTTTTTTATTTTTTAAATTCAATCTAGAATCGAAAGAATGCAAAGAGTCAATGAGTTTTGAAAACGAGAAATACTTCTTAAATTCTTAAAACATAACTCAGAATTTAAGAAATCAGAAGCGAAATAGTACTGGAGCTACTTCTCTTTCTTAGGTTATTGCTTATCAAACGAAACGAAAAAGCAGAAATTTCCTTGTACAAAATAATTGAAATAGATAAAATTCTGCGTAGTCGGGACTTCTCTCACATGGAGCCTGTAAATCCATTGGCGTTTTTCAGGATTTTCACTGAGGAGGAAATTGAACAAATACATTCAACAACACTACGTGATATTATCCGAGAAACAACATTTATTGATGAGCACGAATTGCAAGAGAATGTCAGTATTCGGTTTATTTAAGTGTATTTTTGATTCTCCTTTTCTCTAGACTGCAATATTCGTGGTATTTTCATTTACAGAGAAAGAGAAAGAGAAAGAGAGATATTTTAATAAAGATTTAAAAATTTGTTCCGCAGAAATGCATTGGTTCATCTGTTATTTGTAATTGATGAAACAGATTTGAAAATTATTTACAACTTAGAAATTTTACCTTTTTTTTCCCAAAATTTGCATAATTTAATTGTAAAGGTATTTCTTTGGCGCTCTGGTGATCCATGTGGTCAACCGTTTCAAGTAAACACAAGTGGTTTAGAGCCATGCATACCATTCATGCGTTTCGATCATTTCACCGGCAATGAAGTAACATTTATTTTTTCATGCATTGCGCTTGGCATCATTCCACTGAGTATGTTTACTACTTGAAAATGTTAATTATATTGTAGTTTTTTGGAAAATGTAGAGATTTCTAAATTAAACATGAAATTTGATCTTTCAATTTTTTTTTGAAATGCAAGGTGATTAGTCCATGCAGTAGTTTAAATGATATTTTATGAGTACAGAAAAAGATAAATTCCATCCAAAAAACCATTCTATGAAATATTTTTATCCAGTGTTTCTTCATATGATGTAATAAAAATTGAATTTCATCCTTAAACAATTGGAAATTACGGTAGTTCTTCAAGATTTTTAAGGTAAATATTTGATTTTAGTTTGCATCGGAATTGGATATATGTTGATACAAAGGAGAAAGAAATTGGGCGGTGATATGGAGCCATGCATTAAAAAATTATTCTTAGAAAGTACCAGTTCGAGCAATATTAGGAGCGAACTTATTAAAAAGAATAGTGAGAAGGAAAAATTGCACCTGTCTGGTTTGTCATTTTACATTGTTATCCGTACAGTTGCATTAAGTCTTGGAATTGTTGAATATACATATTATTCAGAATGGCATGCTATGATCATTGTGAATTGTATTCCTCATTTTTTAACTAATTCCTTATTTTTAACAATTTACTAATTAAATTGTAATCATTTTACATACCCAGTTCTAAATAGATAAACAAATTATAGCTATCGAATGGCTCAGTAAAAATTACTGTCGATCGGTGATTCTAATTGTTGATGTTACTCCATTGATTCGATTGGAAAAGCCAGGTGGTGGTCTATTGCGATGTCTCGATTTTAGCAATGTCAATTTTGTAAACGTCGTCGTTTCTGATCTGAACAGTTGCACTTGTCCATTCGTTATGATTTCCATCCCAAAACATTATGATTTGGTTTGTCTCCTTTTTTTATCATTATGAAATATCGCATAAAAAATGTTACCAAACCTTTTTCAAATTTCATTTAGCTTGTAATGTTTGAAATCGACTATCTTTAATATTTGCGCCCTGAAGCACTCATAGCTTTTGGAAAGATGATTACCTAGAAAGAAAATAACATGAACTTATATCGGTTCTGCATGGATTTCAGTGCTTCGGAAATTAATGAAAGCATTTCAGGTTGTTCGTTTGAACAGCGAATGCCAAAGTGCTCAGTTCCTTTGTGTTCTGAGCAATGTTTTGAACCGGACCAGTAAACAGTTGGTCATTCGTCGCTGTCCAAATAGCTATATTATCGAAACAGCTGAAACGAGTGAAAGACGACAGGAAAAGCTGGATCATTTCTTCCGAGAAGCTTACGCGAGAGTAATGCCACCTGCCACTATCACTTGTAGCATGATTTATATCGTTTAATAACGTAGTAACGCTGATCGAAGCAAACTCCTTTACTGATCTTTTTCATGTGTCCTCCTAATTCCTGCGGTCTATTAGGAAATGAGGCGTAGTATTCAAGTTTTGGGGAAGGCGAAGAAGTCGAAGGAGAAATAAGGCTGAGATTGGCATCCTTTCAGTCATTCAATATATCACAACTGTCAGAAGATATTAGTGCAGTGTTGCACGAATCGGTTTCGCAGGAAGTCCTTGGCACTGCAATTACTAAAGCAGAGATGGCTGATGCTCTGGGGATGCGTGAAAATGATTTATTTGTTGAACGGATGTTTGCTTGTATGACAAAAGAAGACCCTAATCAGCACATTACATTCCTCAAATTCCTCAGTGTTGTTACTCGATTTGTCAGAGGTACCAAAATTACTTTTTTTTTAATCACTGTAAAAAGATAGTCTTATCACGGGAACATTCAACCGTTAAAAGCAAGATTACTTAATGCAACATGAATTTCTTTTTCTGAGCCTTGGAAAAAGGTTATGTTTCATGAATCCTAAAAAAGTTAATATTCAAAAAGACATTTTAGGATCTCTTCGTGATAAGCTTGGACTTCTATTCGATATGTGTGATCGAGAAGGACAGGGAAGAGTCCACAAGAAGGAATTTTGTGACTTTGTTAAGTCATTAAATGTAACAGTTGGAGTAAAAATTGAAGAAGCTATACAAGATGGAGTAATTGATAAAGTACTACAGCAATCTGGAATTAGCATGGACTGCAAGTTTTTATCCTACAAAGATTTCGAAGCTATTTTTAGTAATGTGGATGACGTACGACATCCTATTGGAATGCATATGCGCGGTGTCAAGTTAAAATTCAATCTTGATGAGTTCGTATTGCTGCATTGTTGTAGATGGATTTGAAAAAAGAAATGAAATAGATAAATAAAGAGAAGATTTAAGTAAAGAAAATTATGGAAGTAAATTTAGAACTACTGGTGTGATTGCACAAATATACTCTCTTTTGAAGGACAGAAAGTATGAATAGTTTTGCAATACAAAACGAAGAAATTGGATGTGTTCATATCAGCTGGTATCTTTCAACAATATCATATTTGGAAACATATCGTCAGCATATTGTTATTATCTTCTTTTTCACTGCTATTAATTTGTTACTATTCTCTGAACGATTTTGGCGTAAGTTTATATATTATTTAATTGATAAACTGAAGTGTTAGGCTCTTATTGCATCCTTAGTCTTTTTATAAGTATTTAATGAATGTTTAAACATTTGTAGATTATCGATATGAAACGGAGCACCGCGATCTGCGACGTGTTATGGGTGTGGGTATAGCAGTTACACGTGGTGCTGCCGCATCTTTATCCTTTTGTATGGGACTCATTTTGATCACAGTTTGCCAAAATATTATCACGTTATTACGTGAAACTCCATTTCGCGAATATCTGCCTCTTGATTCAGCGATAGCATTCCATAAACTTGTAGCAATGACAGCTGGCTTCTGGGCTACGGTACATACGGTTGGACACTGTATCAATTTCTATCATGTGGCAACGCAGAGTCAAGATGGCTTACAATGTCTCTTCCAAGAAGCTGTTTTTGGGTAAACTTTCCAGTTAGTTACATTTATGAGTGTGAAATGATCCATTTAACTCTTTTTTAGGAATGTCAAGTCATGTAGTTTGCTCAGTTTGAAATACTTAAAAAGTTTCAAAAAAAAAAACCAATTTCAGTTCAAATTTTTTGCCCTCAATTAGTTACTGGCTTTACGGTACCACAACTGGAATAACAGGAATTCTACTGGTAGCTCTTATGAGTATCACCTATGTATTTTCAACGCCAGCTATTATGAGGGAAGCATATCACGCTTTTAAGATCACTCATCTTCTGAATATCCTAATTTATGCAGTTACTGTGCTTCATGGGCTTCCAAAACTTTTGGATGTTAGTTTAGAATTCACATATTTCAATAATTTTGCAAAGAAAAGTTAATGGAAAGTGCTATTTCATATTGTACGCTCATTTCTCTTTGCTTAACTTTACTTAAAGATGAAATCATTCAACAGTAATTTAATCAGGCGAATATAGTATTGTAGTTTCTAGCATTTATTAAATGCTTGCGGTTATACAAAGCTGATATTTAAATTTGTTTAACTTGCAACATCATATCACCACTGAAAACAAGCTTTTTCGTAACCTTCTCACTACTGTTGGTAAAACGTCGGAAGTGATCCTTTTTATGCTTCCATTTAGCTTATAAAAAATTTTCCAGAGTTAAACATTTTAATTACAGAGTCCCAAATTTCTATATTACGTAGCTGGCCCGATTGCTCTGTTTGTAATAGACCGTATTATTGGTATGCGACAACAGTATAAAAGATTACAAATTCTGCGCGGTGCAATACTACCGTCAGGTATGCTTTAGATGACTTACTGGTTTAACCTACATTACATTAATAAAATAGGATGGAATGGGAAATTTTTATATCATTGATGTGTGGGTATTTTCCTCCTACTTCATTTTAGTTGTTCCCGGAAGATAATGCTAACATGATAACCAAATTTAGATGAAATTAGATTGAAACTTATGCATCAACTAAAATCACAAAATTTAAATATTCCTTTACATATGAAAAAATTTTTTGAATATGTAAGTTTGAAGTAATTGTAATCAAAGTGATTCATACTCAAAAAAAAATTATTGGCAAGATCTACTCAACGGAATTTTATTAAGCGAAATTACAAATAGAGCTAAGGATTGTTTTAAATCAAAGGTCAAGAAAATTAACTGATAAAAATAGGAGAAATAGATTTGCAGAACAGAATAACGAGACTGACAATGGGGGCATTCGCTTCACTTAGATGGATTTTAGAATAAAATATGAAATGTTCCTAATTTTAAGCAGCTTTCTGGTTTCGGATAAATATTTCAAAATTCCATTAGACTCAAAATATGCTTATGATTCTCTGATAAAGGTGATGTGACTATTTTCGATAAATGAGATGAAACGTTTCGAAAATTCATCAAATCTCATCTGCGATAAGTTTCTAACATCTGTATCAGATTTATCTTTATACATTACTCTAAAAGTAGTTGACATTTTAAGTTTCAAAATTTTTCAAATAATTTATTTTCTAGATATTATCTACATTCAATTCAAGAGACCAAATTCATTCCGATTTCGTTCTGGTCAATGGGTGCGCATTTCATGCCCGGCATTTTCATGTACATTTAATGAACTTCATGCATTTTCTTTGGCCTCTGCACCACAGGCGTCAACGCTGGAACTGTATATCAAAGCGGTTGGCCCATGGACCTGGAATCTACGAAATCAGATCGCTTGCTCACATTCCAATGGGGTACCTTATCCAGTACTTCATTTACATGGGCCATACGGTGACGGGAATCAGGTATGTCTTATGTACACATAGCATTGCTAGACCAAAATGTGGAATTTGATATGAAATAATCAGCAATATTCTTCATTTAATCAGCAATTCAGACTGAAAGCAGCATTTTGCAAATTTAAATAAAGCAATGCGACAACATCCTTTTTATTTTAGGATTGGCGTAATTTCGAAATTGCTGTGTTGATAGGTGGTGGTATTGGTGTGACTCCGTATGCGTCCATACTCACTGATCTTGTCACTGAAAAAATGTCTGGCCGATATACAAATGTTAAATGTGAAAAGGCATGTTTCTGCTTGCAAACTCACTTTTGTGCTTTGAAAAATTTTTAATTAAAAAGAAGTGAAGAAATAGATATAAAGGATTTTTCATAAGGTACAAAGGGGCTTGTATAATTCTAAGGTTTCTCAGAGGATGATTCTTTGGAAAAAGCTCATCTATAACAGGAGTGTGGGAGTATAGTGAATGTGTATGGTTCGTCACAATATTCATTTCTTCAGTCCTCCAAGTTAATTCAATAACTAAAGCATTGATAACTTTTTACTACGGTAGGCTTATGATTTAGGGCAGCAAAAGGTAATTTGGTTGCAGTTCAGAGATATAATATTTTAGGTTTACTTCATTTGGGTATGCTCGACACATAAGAATTACGAGTGGTTCATCGAAGTTTTACACAATGTGGAAGAATTGGACAAGGAAGATTTGCTAGAAATACATATTTTTGTCACACAATTCTTTCATAAATTTGATCTTCGAACCACAATGCTTGTACGATATGCTATTTGGCTTTTTGAGTGTAAATTCATAATCTTCTCGAATTTTAAAGTGTTACTTCCCACTGGCCACTACTAATATTACTTAATAATGAATAACACAGTTTTACTGCACATGTTTACTTTTAGTACATTTGTGAGAAACACTTCCGAAGTGACAGCAATGGTCGAAGTATGTTTACAGGCCTTAATGCTGTGAATCATTTCGGTCGTCCAAATTTCGAGGCCCTCTTCAAATTCATACAAAACAAACACAGAGATGTAAGTTTCACATAACATAATGTATTTCATTGAAATTGAACAATTAGCAAATCGAATAGAATTGATGAAGAAAAATTGGTAATCAGACATTTGCATATTTAAAAGTGATGAGCAGGGTATGCAGGTCGAGATCTGTTTTTGAGTCAGATAATTCTTAATTTATATTCTTTTTAGATTTGAACCTCAATTGTACAGTTTTTTGTAGGTCCAAGCAGTTGGCGTATTCAGCTGTGGTCCAAATTCAATCAATAAGGAAATCCGAAAAGCATGCAGAGAAGTAAATAGGGTTCGAAGCGCAGCATCATTCTGTCATCGATTTGAAACATTCTGATAATATTATTTGAAGTGAAGGTTTATTCATGGGAACAGTGACAATTTGCTCATGCTCGAAATTCGTTTTGAAAGTATCACTTTACTCGAATTATTAATTTAACTCCAACTATTAATTATTGTTAATTAGCTTAATTTAATGAGAGCACTCATGTTAGCATTTCGTCCATTTCTTATCAAGGATATTCTACACTTCTTGGCCATATCTTTCGAGAAGTTAGCCTTACATATTATTCACTGCTGTATAAATAAACTTGCCCGACTCTTTGATCTCACTTTGTCTTTCATTTATCTGCCAAATTCGTACAGTCTTGATGAAGTAGTTTTATTGTTTACTTTATTATTTTGTTCATCTATTAGCTGTATTTTCCAGTATTCTGCAAGAAATTTATTCTAAATGCTAATTTGTGCTTCTGGAATCTTCCAGAAGACCATGCTGAAGAACTGGCTTGAATCGTTCTAGAACTTTTCTGCTTACAAGAATCAATAAATTTGAAACGAACTCATTCGCTAGACACCAACTGCTGATTCATTTTATTCTCCATTTAATACAATTCTTTAGCTCAATTGCTTCCCTAACAGCATTCCGTTTATATTTATTCGAGTTGGAAAAGAAAGTTTTACTAGTGGTAACAATTGGAAAAATGTACAAACTCCAGTGAGTTAGCTGTCTTTTTTTCCTTCTCTTCTTTCCTTTATCATTGATTATTTGCCCTTTCTTCACTTTAATCATCGAAATAAATCTACTCCAATAAAATTATCAAAATTTCATTCAAAATTAACTGCCTTTTTTCATTTTGGAGATTACACTATTTTGTATAAAATAAACATCCACGAAATTAAATCAGTTTTATTCCTATCAAAGGTTCGGTGCCATCCAGTAGGATCTTTTTTTTAATGAATAAAAATTATTTCAAGGTATGAGCATGTCAAAATTAGATCATGAATGTAAAGTCAGCCTTGTAGATCAAATCGCAAGTACCAGGAAATTCCCAATTCATCAAATTAATATCTGTATAGCTCTACATATACGTTCGGCGGAAAACTCTTAATTTAATTAGAGGTAATATTTAATAATACTTATTCAAATAAATTGGTTGAAGATCTGATAAGCAAGACGTGAAAGTGCCAAAGAAGTGGATAATGGAGAGGCATAGTCAGAAAGTTTATCGGCAAAACTTAAATTATTACAATGAGGGAATCTTTAGAAAAAAAATCATGCTTTCTTTTTGGCAGCGATGACCAAATGTCCTCGCTTGGTCAAATTTGATGTCAGAGTCTTCGTATCTACATCCGACGGAAGCTTATAGGTACGACTAATTTCACGTTTAATTTCTCCATAATGCTCGGCACGTGATTCATGTCTGCAGTGAATGACCAGATTATCGCCAGCAACTTTTACCTAAAATTTGAGGGTACGAACTAGATCTTTGCAACTTTAGTTCTATGAAAGTTCTTCAGTACTCACAACAATCAGTTCTAATTAGTGGGAATTGTTCAAATAAGTAGATAATACTTTCCCAGACAGATTTGAAGTTTGTGTACTGAAAGTAAATATACAAATTAGGTAATAAGACAAGTAAAAAACTTTATTCTCGAATTTGCTCTAATTCCATCATATATTTTGCTATATTTGCATGAAAAATTGACCTAAGAAATTTTGTTAGAAAGAAATTAAAAAAATGCCAAGAATGTAAGCATTTTTTTCTTATTCCTCATTTATGACCATCTTACCCTCATTTATAGATGTGTAAAAGCTTCTAATTCCACCTTTTAAATTTCGCTCTTCCATTATCCAAATGTCTTTCCCTTTTAACAAAAACTAGGATTATTACCTTTTATGATAATTGCTATGAACACCAGCTAATCACAGAATTATGTCGCCTAATCGACCCTACAGCAAAAACTATAAATTCAATTAAACCTCGATTTCCTTCGGCGTGAAGAATGATGCATCCAAACCGACTTCAAACTTGTCATTCGTGTTGGTTATTTTAATCACCTCATCGTTGTGCTGTAAGGGCCAATCCCACTGCTCCGCACTCCAATTGTGCGTTAGTTCCACCACCTTTTCTTCCATCCTTAAAGAAAATAAAAAAAAAAAAAAAAAAAAAAAACTCAAAGAGGTTTTAAAAGATTTCTCGTAAGTCGGAAATATATTTACCGATTAGCTATGTCAAGAAATGTCAAGAATTATTGTTGATGTTAATATTATCCAGCTTCTCACAAAGTTCACAGTACTTTGAATACGATCTAACATAGAATTCATGCAGATATTATTATCAAGCTAAGTTTAATTCGTTCTTTAAGATATGCTACTTGAAAAATAAACCTTGCACCACCAATATTCTTTGTAGATATAGTAGCACAATAATAAATATACAATAGTTAATATACAGTAGCACAGTAATAAAGAAGTTTAGGTCACATAATTCCATATTTTTGAGAATTTTGAAAAGAGGGCCTTACCTAATGATCTTAAGTGATTTTGTGTCCTTTTGATGTGATATTATTAAAGCCATTCAGATGAAAGATAGTTGATGAGGCGTAGGATAACGGAAATTGAATGTCATGTAGTTGAGATAGTACGCTGATGGATGTCAGTTGTACTGTCAACATTGATTAGATAATGTGATAAGCTGGATGAAAAGGACACAAAAGCAAATGTAGCAAATATTTCTTCTCATCCTACACTACCAATTTTAGCAACAGCCTGCACTTTTATGGTTTTTGCAATGAAAGGACAGAAAAACTCTCTGGCACATCCTTTATTGTCATCTAAAATTTTTCACGTGAAGAAAAGAACTGATTTAATCAAATATGAGTAGCAAAGGCAACATACCTGTCAAGTAGTCTAACAATAACAAGAGATATTTGCAAACTGAAAATGAACTGGAAGGAGGAATGAAATGAAGGTGACGTCGTCACATGTAATGCAAAAAAGAGAAAATATTTCATTTGGAAAACAAAAATGGATTCATGTTTTAAAAAGAATTGCACTGATGAAAGTTAAGCTACAATTAAAAAGAAAGGAATGGTAGAAAGAAGGAAGGAAAGGAAGAAAACCACAGGTAAGGCAAGACAAAATGCACCTATAGCTTGGTCTCAAGCTACCCTCTCGTCACTATCCCATCCATCCTTTAGTCTGTCCTAATTGTTTCTTCAAAATACTCATCGATGTGTAATATTTTACTTCCTCTCCTGAGTGGCTCCGATTATCCTCAAAAAACAACATTGCGAGGGGAAGCACTGCAGATATGTGGAAGGAATGTTGTCTTTCGTAATGTCGGAGAAAGATCAGAGTGGTAGTACTGAGATTTGATGCCATCCAGCTTTTTCATTAAGCGCTCATTCTATCTCTTAGACATTTTTTTTTGTAGTAGCTTTCTGCACTGTTGGACAACTTAGTGGTTTACCTTTGTTTTTATCTTCTTCCTCTCTCCCTGCTTTCTTTTTTTTTTTTACTTATTGATGAACTATCAGCGATGATGCATCATTAATAACACTACCAATCCCAATTAACTTAAAATTCTCCGATAAAAATCATTTCCGGAATCCCATCGTTATTACCCGCATACTTATCCTGTAAATGATCTCGAATCACCTGTGATCTTAACACCCAGGTTTCATCACACACACACTTGCAGACGTGTAACGTGAAAGTTCCTGCAACAGTTCCTCCTGTGGTAAGCGAACAAAAAAGGCTAGTAGATGTTGATCCTACCAGTGACCTCTACGTTGTCCATAATTCACGAAATATTCAACCAAAAAAGCTTCAATTTCAATGAAATCTACTATGCGTAACATTGAAATTGTTTCAAGCACCAAAGTCATGTCATGTCATCCATCAATTCTACACATTTCACTTCAGTCAAGGAAAAAGCAAATTAAATGACCATATAACATTGGAGTTAAACATCCAAAAATCACTTATAAATAATCCAGTTGGTTTCCAGCATCGAGCAACTTTATCGTAATCCTCCTTTAATATATGTACTCAAATAATATCGTTGGAGGTTCATCATTAATTTGTGATATTTAGTTTTTTGATGCATCACTAATATGATTGCTACCTTTACTGAAACAAAAAATAATCAAAATAACAAACAACTGAACACTAGACATAAGAAACATAAAATGTAATAACAATATCACTTCCAGTGCAGATCTGGATAGGATCATTTAAAAATCTGTTGTAGCAGAAGGAATCTTGTCAACAAATGGTGAATTAAATTCAAAAGTAATGTAGAGAATACTCTTGGAAATGAGCGAGTAAATTTGAGGGAAGTGATAAAGCATAATCAATAAGTTAAACGATAAAAAGGCTGCAGCTCTAAACAAGTTTAATAAAAAAAAAATCACAAAATATTTTGAAAAATCCTTGCCATTCAAAAGAAATGGGACAATTCTTTCTTTTGAAATCTTCAAATTTTCTAACAAAAAGAATTGCAGAAATTGGGAGAAAATCAAAAATGAAGTAGAACTAAAGGTTTAATAAACAATAAAAAATTTTTAAACAGAATAAAATTCATAGTGAGAAAGGATAAAATAGATTCAAAAGACAATCACATCAAAAGATCAAGAAAGTGATGGAATACATCCAGAGGGTACACTTTTCACATAATTCGGGCTCTTTTTCAGAAGGCCAAATCTCCTCCCCCCTTCCCCTCTCTATATACTGATTTTATTGAAAAACCTTCGTTTCGTTTTGGAGTCTATGTAAGCATGCATAAGATTCCTTTTCTAAAAAATAACTGAGCATCTACAATTCGATTTTACTTCGAAACGAAATAGAGGCATGCTTTTTCATGAAGTTAATGAGGTCATCTAAGTCACGATTTCCTTTGTATTTGATTGGTTCCTTCTTTTTACCAGCTGGTGCAAAATAAATTGTTGGAAAACCACTCACATCGTAATTCTTCGGAATATCATTGGCTGTTGCATCAATTTTTACAAGTAGCAAATTTGATTCACTTTTTAATTTCACTGCCAACTCTTTGTATTTTGACTCGAATGCCTAGAATTGAAACATTATAGCAAGGCTTGTCTCGGAAGTTTATAAGGTTCAACGCATTTCAAATCTTTAATTTTCAATTCCAGATTTTTGATGTCAATGTAATTCAGCAGTTTTTATATGAGGATTAAAAGTTTAAAAAAACAATAAATGTACCTTACAAAGCCCACACCACGGTGCATAAAACTCCATCAGCACATCCTTCGTTTCATCAAACACAACCTGAGCGAAATTTGATGCAACGACAGTTTTCACTGGACCCTTATTATCTTTTGGCAATGGCGCAGATTTCATAAAAGGTTTTATTTTACCTTCAAAAAAAGATGAACTAAAACGAGTTTATTAAGTTAAAATTCATAACATTAAACGACAATACTTATTTAATAAATGTCTGTAAATTTATTCGGAGTAGTAAATCCCTAGAATTTGTATACCTGAAGATAGTTTTTCCATGAAAGCTTGTAAATTCTCAGATAATTCATCATCGAATTCATTCGGACGCATCGGGTACTTTTTACCATCATAACCGAAAACTAAAACATTATGCTCAAGCCCACTGTCACCCAATCCCACCTGAAATATATGAAGCCAAAATCACAACGAGTTTCTGTTAAAAAACGTTTGAGTCATTTAAGCATATATTCTACAAATGTCGTAAATGTAAAACCATAGCACTTCATTTTTTTGTGGTTTCAGAAGAAGATAATCTAAACTAAATATATAAAAATGATGATAAACCAACCGCTATAAGCTCATCTGCAAACTCGCTTTCGTCTGAAATTGCAAAATGATACTTATTTTTCCTATATTCATTCGCAATATCTAACACCTGAAAAATGCAAATCAAAAAATAATATGCAACTCATCTCAAAAAGCTGAAGTATTAAATTTGGGAAATGGGGTAGATCTCAAACGAACAATGTTAGTACATTTTTAAAAAAATAAGAAATATATCAAACTTAAACTTTCCAACATCCATTAACACGAAGAAAAACAAACATTATATATGTAATAGATATTCTGGAAACTTAAAATGCTTAACTTAAAGAATGTAAAATAACTGGACAAATAACCCAACCTTTTTCCTCCAGTATTGTGTTCCTTCGCGATATTCTACTGAGAAGTCAACATTATAATAAATTACAACAAGAGGGAGTTTAGTATATCTGGTGGCAACATTTTTTTTGGTTCTTTGACCCACAAGAGGTGTTGAATTTTCTTGAAAAAATCTTACCAAATCTTCCACAGTGCCATCCTCCTATAAAATATCAGAATTATGATTATATGCTAAGCATTTTAACGATTAAATCCAGCAAACTGGCAGATCGATTTCCCAGATAAGCAGTAAGTTATGTCGCTGGAGGATAATAACTGAAAACGCATGCCTTTTGGTAAACAATTTGCTTCGACTCGTATTTGCTCCAGTATATTTCAGGGAAAAAAATAACTATTTGGTCAGAATCAATTTTAAAATATTTTTTAGTGTTCACTTGCAAACAAACAGCAATACTGAAATCATTTCGCACCATTTCAGCTAAAAAGAAAGGAAATCAGTTAAGCTACTTAAATTGCAAATGTCGATCTGAATTGAAAACCAGAATAAAGACAAACTAGTATGAAAAAAATATTTTCAACTAATATTCTCATTTCCATTTTCCAATATTTTCATTTAGCTGTAGAAACTATTTTTCCTAAAAGATTTCTATGGAAACTGTAGAAGAAAAACTTTTAACGGCAGAAAAATTCATTGTCATCTCCACTCTGCAGGTGGATGTGATACAGATAATAGAGGCGGAATAAAGTCTTCCATCAGTTATAAGAAGCTAACCTGCTTCACTTAAAGATTCCAGTAGTTTTGCTTTTCCATCACTGAAAAAACCAATGACTGTTATATCATCTTTGCGCATAAAATGCTGAGCCTCCTTCACACTGTTAATTTTTCTTAAAGCAGGTTCAGCCTGTTCAAGCATGTGTTTCACAATACCTAAAATGCAGCATTAAAAAATATGTGAAAAATAAAAGATATTTGCATGCTAATTTTTCGGCAGAAAATATACCTTCTGTAT